GGCGCAAATTTGTAGCTAAAACACCGGAGGAGAAAGGATAAGGGGGGCAAGCGGTGCGGGGCCTCAGCCACATGATAAGGTGGGTCCGCGCTCGCTTGTGGCCACATGATAACCCCTGATTGAACGGCCCACATGCGACCGACCCAAGACTCGGCCGGTCGGCCAGGTATAAACATTTTCCTTTTTTTCGAGTCCCCCGTTCGAAAATATAACTCCTACTTCTCTCTCAGAAAAAAATAAATCCACTCCTGCACACGAAGCATGCAAGTCATGATTACTCACTCTGCCTGAGCTCGTTCGCTGAGAAGTGGCGATCGCGCGCGCGCGCGAACCAAACCAAAGTCGATCGCGGAATGGAACTCGACGCGTGGCCCCTAAATTCGTTGGGCCCGTCCTTTCATGCGTCCCTCTCCTAGTCCTACCTAGCTCACCGTCCGCAACCACCGCCGATTGGCCGCTACAGTGCACTGCAGCCCCGCAATCTTCCCGCTCACTCACACCTCCGACTCCCACAGAGAAGAGCACCGTCCTGCCTATATATCCCGCGCATGCACCGGCGTCTCGGCTTAGGCTGCAGCTCCATCGACCGGCCGACACACCGACCTCCGCGCCGCCGCCCGCAGGGACGCACTGACACGGTACGGCATACCTGAGAACGCCGTAGCGTGCGCCTTCACCAGGCAGGGTCACCATGAAGACCGGCGCCGGTGAGGCTGTCAAGTCGCAGGTGGCCGGGCTGCGGGCCGGGGCCATCGTCAAGCTCAACGCCGCCTTCCTCGCCTTCTTCTTCCTCGTCTACATGGCCCTCCTGCTCCACCCCAAGTACTCCCACATCCTCGACCGCGGCGCCTCCTCTCTCGTCCGCTGCACCTTCCGCGACGCCTGCCCGTCCACGTCCCACCTCTCACGGAAGGTAAGGTACGTGAGCGTGAGTCCCGGACCGCTGCCACCGGTGGGGTTCTTGCCTTGCCGCCCGACATTCTAATTCCAGCGGTCCTCGCCACCGAGCGTGTGTAAGTTCTCGGTTACTTAACGCGCTCAAATGCATGCATGCGTGCAGCCGGGAGGAAGATCAGTGGCGGCGGCGAACAAGGTGGTGGCGACGGAGCGGATCGTGAACGTGGGGCGCGCGCCGACCATGTTCAACGAACTGCGCGGCCGGCTGCGGATGGGCCTGGTGAACATCGGCCGCGACGAGCTGCTGGCGCTGGGCGTGGAGGGCGATGCGGTGGGCGTGGACTTCGACCGCGTGTCGGACGTGTTCCGGTGGTCGGACCTGTTCCCGGAGTGGATCGACGAGGAGGAGGAGGACGGGGTGCCGTCCTGCCCGGAGATCCCCATGCCGGACTTCTCCCGGTACGACGACGACGTGGACGTGGTGGTGGCGGCGCTGCCGTGCAACCGGACGGCGCAGGGGTGGAACCGCGACGTGTTCAGGCTGCAGGTGCACCTGGTGGCGGCGCAGATGGCGGCGCGCAAGGGGCGGCGCGACGGTGCCGGCCGGGTGCTCGTCGTGCTGCGGAGCGAGTGCGAGCCGATGATGGACCTGTTCCGGTGCGACGAGTCCGTGGGGCGGGAGGGGGACTGGTGGATGTACACCGTCGACGTGGCGCGCCTCCAAGACAAGCTCCGCCTGCCCGTCGGCTCCTGCAATCTCACGCTGCCGCTCTGGGGGCCAACAGGTACATACATACTCCTACGTAATTCGTGGATTGGATCACGTACTACGTATATAGTAGTAGTATACGTACGTGACGTGCGTCCGCATAATATAATTTGCTCTCTCGTGTCGGTCTTATTGTTGCGGTTGCACCGCACAAACACACATATACGCATGCATGTAATGTAAGTCAAGCGTGCAGTTGCACCCATGCTAACAACCAATAGTGGTAAGATAGACAGATATGGAGACGGTGATGGTTCTTCTAGAAATCGAAAGGAAAATTCCCCCTAAAAAAAGAAATCGAAAGGAAACAGCTGAGATACCATGCATCAAAGGAAACACACACATATAATACTAAAAGACGACATCACAAGAGCAAAAAAGCAAAAGAGCAAAGATTGCCAATTGACATCAAAACCAGAAAATGTTATTTCTGGGGGAAATTATCTGTCCGCCATATTTGAATCATGCACGTGGATTTGTCCGAAAAGTACTTTCGTAGTATCATAATTTAATTTTCATACGTACAATTTTTTGGAGCTTTGCTAGTTTCAGCTAACCAGTTTTCTTTACAAAAAAAGGACACGTAAACTGCAACCATCAAAGTGCACAATTTTAGTGTTAATTGTGCAAATGCAATTTTTTCAATCCGTGGGTATATAGTACTATAAACCCATAGGCTGAAAAAAATGCATTGACATAACTAACAGGAAAATTGCAAAATTTGAAGTGAGGGTGAGATGATAATGATTAGATGTTGATCCATTGGCTTACAATCTAGGCAATCTAGGAATATACAATCCCATTTAGTGGTAAAAAAAATGTATTATCCAGTTCTGAAGCAAGTCTACGGAGAAAACATGAGATAATACCAAGAAAAGTGTTCCCCACACAAAAAACAAAGATATCGAAAAGTTAGATTAGCATCGGATCCCCTGCACGTACGTGTCGGTGTGTTACACAGCTGTGTTATAAGGACATAACACTCCACCTAATGCAATTGAGGCGACGATACAGCGCATAATAATCAAGCCTGCTTCTTTCCCGCCTCTCTTTTTCGCCCTTGGTAATGCGGCATATATATGATCGTAGGGACCATGCATGTTAATCAACGGGGCATATATATGTGTGTGTGTTGGACAAGCCATCTGGGAGAACATCTATCTATCTACAGGAATCTGGTCGGGAAATGTTGCGTACGATCGATCAATCGAGCTGATAATGCATCGATTCCTATCATCACTCCACTGTCCTTGGTCCTAAAAAAACAATGCTCCGTAGCCCCCATTCGCAACAAACTTAAGAATCTGACCCAATCACTGGCTTAATCAACTTACTCGTGACTCATCGTGATGATCACCCCACCAGGTGATTATCATCTGTGTGTCTCAATCAGGCCAGGTGCATCCCAAAAAAAAAAAACGTACTACGGTACCATCTGTTTTGGCAACCACATATGGCCGTGCATTCATTTGCGACCGTTAAATAGGTTTCCAAGTACGTACCATATGCGTTCCACGTTAGCCCTACACATTCTAGCTAGCCTTATATCCTAGCTGGTACGGTACCATCAAAAAGCTGGAGCGGTACTACTGTCTAGCTAGCATTAAGCAGCACGATCGAAAGCATATGTCCCACCGTTGAATATGGAAACTTCTGTTGGTAATCATGGAGCTATCTATCAGCGTCCTGTCACCCAAGATCTGTCCTCACAGACACAGCGAGCAGATAGATCGATCTAGGTAGGTGTGGCTCCGTCCCAAGCTATTCCCAAGTCCCGAACTGATCACTTTCCTGTGCCCTTCCTGCTGCCAAGACAAGATCGTAGGAAAAGGACGCCACTTCATTCATTGCTTGGATCGGGTCACAACTCCTGATCAGTGAACATGGTAAGAAGAACAAGACATGAAATATTTGAAGTGAAGCTTGAGAAATGGCCCGCAGAGGCTGGCTGGGGCCTCTCCACCTAACGGTTCCGGTTGCGAGTCTCTCGGTCGACTGATCACCTCCCCGGCCGGCCATGTCGATCTCGATCGGTCGAGGGGAGCGCTGTGGCGGTGGATGTATGCTTCGATCCATCGACACGACACCGTCGACGCGTCAGACTAAACTTAGATTCGGTTGGTGTGACAGACAGACACAGGGTAGCTTGTCCGATTAGCTGGCTGGCAAGCTAGCTTGTGCATGCACCAAGGCCAAGGCCAGGTGATACTTGCATTGCATGCTACTACACTCTAGCTACGCCTACGCGGTGGAGTGGATGGATCGACGGATGGCCAATCCACCACCAAACGTACGCAACGTCGAAAAACCAACGCAAAAGTACCGTTGGTTATATATAATTCGATCCACTTTTTGTTGTTGTTGTTGTTGGTGGTTTTGACCGCTCCAATATCCAGCGCTAGCTTGCAGTTTGTTTCAAGCTAGCCTCAGCTGGTTGATGGATGGCGTTCAAAACTTGCACGTGTGCACCTTCGGACAAGGACAGAGGCGTGCATTGCGTGGTTAAAAAACCTTGAAACTTTTAAGACAAGATAAATATCACCTATGTTCCCAACTGCACAAGACGTTTTGGGGATTTCAATGTGGACTACATGGATTGAAATGAGTAAACAAACACACTAAAACCCGTTTATATACAGTCGATTCAGAAAATAAAAAAGTTAGATCATCTTATAATTCGGAACGGAGGGAGTACATCTTTGGTCCCTCATCTATTACAACAAAGTTGAGATTTTCTCTGTTAACTCTAGAACCAAAAAAGTAATTTTTTCAGGGGTAGAACTAAAAATTAATGATCTCCCAATGTATTTTGCTCCCTCCAGTCCATATTAATTGACGTTGATTTAGTATAAAGTTAGTACAACTTTGTACTAAACCAGCGTACAACTGTGTAGTACAACAACGTCAATTAACATGGATCAGAGGGAGTATTTTTCTTTTCTATTTGCAACGTTGAAAACGATTTTCGCAATGATGTGATGATGACTTCGCAACCCGAGCAACCCGGTTGGTGTAAAAATGACAGCAAAGAAAAAAAATATAGCAAGTAGGGAAGTGGAAAAATGATTTATAAAGAACTAATTTAGAAGGAAATTGGGTAACACATTTTTTGGGGAGTATAGGAAAATTAAAATAATTATCGAACATATTTTAAGCTGAAAATTAAGTGTCTGAATATACTACTCCATTTGTTTTTGAGGGGATATACAAGTACTCCATTTTACATTATATAAAGGTTATCTCAAATAATTCGGGTCAGAGGGAGTAGTGTTGTTTGTCCGTACTAATAATAAATGAAGATAAGAGCTTTTATAGTGTACATTAGTTTGTGTTTTATCTGTAAGAGCAGCGATATACAGACGATAACTTTCCTTCCGATTAGATCGCATCATTTTGCAGATCAGCACCTTTCGAAGAAGGCACAGTCCGAAAATTGTGCGTGCACTGTGTGTGTAGAGTAGTTTTGTATATGTATGAAGCGGGGTGGTTTTATAGTTAGGTTCCACTTTTATTTATTTACTTTCCTGTCACGTACGTTCCGGAAATTAACTAACCATGCATTGCAACCCGTACGTACACAGGCATCCACGAGGTGTTCAACGCGTCGGACCTGACGGCGGTGGACGCCGGCAGCCAGCGGCGCGAGGCGTACGCGACGGTGCTACACTCGTCGGACAGGTATCTATGCGGCGCCATCGTGCTGGCGCAGAGCATCCGGCGGTCGGGCTCCACCCGCGACATGGTCCTCCTCCACGACCACACCGTCTCCAAGCCGGCCCTCCGCGCGCTGGTCGCCGCCGGGTGGATCCCGCGCAGGATCCGGCGCATCCGCAACCCGCGCGCGGAGCGGGGCTCCTACAATGAGTACAACTACAGCAAGTTCCGGCTGTGGCAGCTGACGGAGTACTTCCGCGTCGTCTTCATCGACGCCGACATCCTCGTCCTCCGCTCCCTCGACGTGCTCTTCCGCTTCCCGCAGATCTCCGCCGTGGGCAATGACGGCTCCCTGTTCAACTCCGGGATCATGGTGATCGAGCCGTCGGCGTGCACGTTCGAGGCGCTCGTCCGCGGGCGGCGCACCTTCCGGTCCTACAACGGCGGCGACCAGGGGTACCTGAACGAGGTGTTCGTGTGGTGGCACCGGCTGCCGCGCCGGGTGAACTACCTCAAGAACTTCTGGGCCAACACGACCGGGGAGCGGGCGCTCAAGGAGCGGCTGTTCAGGGCGGAGCCGGCGGAGGTGTGGTCCATCCACTACCTTGGGCTCAAGCCGTGGCGGTGCTACAGGGACTACGACTGCAACTGGAATATCGACGACCAGCGCGTGTACGCCAGCGACGAGGCGCACCGGCGGTGGTGGCAGGTGTACGACCAGATGGGGGAGGTGATGCGGGGCCCGTGCGCGCTGTCGGAGCGGAGGAAGATCGAGATCGCGTGGGATAGGCACGTCGCCCAGGAGATCGGCTACGCCGACCAGCACTGGAAGATCAACATTACCGACCCCAGGAAGTGGGAGTAGTACCACGCGACGGCGGGTCTCCGTGGACACGAACATGACTAGTCTAACTGGCCGCGCCGGCCGGAGCGGCGACAACAGCTGATCGAGCTCGCCGCATTTTGAGTTTCGGTTTCTCTATTGTTTTTTTGTCCATATAATACATATGTATACACAAGCATGTGGTCATTGCACAAACTTTGGTGGTTGAATAATGAGTAGTCATTCAGTTGAGGAGATCTCTGGTTGCAGGCACTACTGAAATCACTGGTAGCCCGTTCCATTGGCATTGGTGGCAATGGTCATGGGCATCTCCACTGACATTCCCTAGTACATAATCCTGCTATAAAGACAGATCTACCGCACATCATTGGACGGAACTACTCCCTCCGTTCCTAAATGTAAGTCTTTGTAGGGAGTATGTGCGATATGCAGACATCTAAACGACAGAAGAAGAAAAAACACCTGACAGAAAAAGATATGTGTGTTGCGGACCTATTGGTCACGATTTAGAAAGGAGATGTGTGTGCTTTTTCAGTCAGCCGGAGAGGCAAGAATATAAATCTTCTGCCCCTTCCAACTTCACCTGTCATAATTGCTCAAAGGTTCCTCACCATTTATGAAATATAATGCTCAAAATATATCCACAAAACATTATATGTACATTCTCTGATGAATACCGTTTGTACTATTTTTCCAACCCAATTACACACACCATACATGCCACCTATGACAATACACCTGCAACTCATAAGCAAATGTCTATCAACATGAAAGAAAACGAAGCCAGGTAATGCTTCCTAAACTTCCATGCTTATTAAATTACATGATCAAACTCATGCTTAACTTCGTGTAAGTATTAAAATCGCGACACACATCTTTGCTGGTCTTAAATGTCATTAGCTTGATTATTGTGTTTATATCTGTCATGACAAGATGGATCATAAACATCTATGTGATTGCTTCTCCATTTTATGGCTTATGTTAAGGATACTTTTATGTGAAAGTCTGAATGGAATTCAATGTTAGTCATTTTCCATTCTACACCTTAGTTTGATAAATCAAAAGATTGCTCTTTTCTATATGTTGCTGTATGTAATGTTTCACAACCTCAATATTATAGTATTCCTCTTATCAAGATTACTTTACATCTATAATGTACATTCAAATCAGGGTCAAAGCAAAAAAAAAACTGAGTTTAGCGAGGGTGGGACCGACAAATCTAACAGGTATGACTATACACTCACAAACCCAATAGAGCACCATGGTTTTCCAATAACTAGATACGTGTTGCAAATATGCCCTAGAGGCAATAATAAAAGGATTATTATTATATTTCCTTGTTCGTGATAATTGTCTTTTATTCATGCTATAATTGTATTATCCGGAAATCGTAATACACGTGTGAATACATAGACCACAATATGTCCCTAGTGAGCCTCTAGTTGACTAGCTCGTTGATCAACAGATAGTTATGGTTTCCTGACTATGAACATTAGATGTCATTGATAACGGGATCACATCATTAGGAGAATGATGTGATGGACAAGACCCAATCCTAAGCATAGCACAAGATCGTGTAGTTCGTTTTGCTAGAGCTTTTCCAATGTCAAGTATCTTTTCCTTAGACCATGAGATTGTGTAACTCCCGGATACTGTAGGAGTGCTTTGGGTGTACCAAACGTCACAACGTAACTGGGTGACTATAAAGGTGCACTACAGGTATCTCCGAAAGTGTCTGTTGGGTTGACACGGATCGAGACTGGGATTTGTCACTCCGTATGACAGAGAGGTATCATTGGGCCCACTCGGTAGTGCATCATCATAATGAGCTCAAAGTGACCAAGTGTCTGGTCACGGGATCATGCATTACGGTACGAGTAAAGTGACTTGCCGGTAACGAGATTGAACGAGGTATTGGGATATCGACGATCGAATCTCGGGCAAGTAACATACCGATTGACAAAGGGAATTGTATACGGGGTTGCTTAAATCCTCGACATCGTGGTTCATCCGTTGAGATCATCGAGGAGCATGTGGGAGCCAACATGGGTATCCAGATTCCGCCGTTGGTTATTGACCGGAGAGCCGTCTCAGTCATGTCTACATGTCTCCCGAACCCGTAGGGTCTACACACTTAAGGTTCGGTGACGCTAGGGTTGTATGAATATGAGTATGCAGCAAGCCGAAAGTTGTTCAGAGTCCCGGATGAGATCCCGGACGTCACGAGGAGTTCTGGAATGGTCCGGAGGTGAAGAATTATATATAGGAAGTGCTGTTTCAGCCATCGGGAGAGTTTCAGGGGTCACCGGTATTGTACCGGGACCACCGGAAGGGTCCCGGGGGTCCACCGGGTGGGTCCACCTATCCCGAAGGGCCCCGTGGGCTAAAGTGGGGAGGGGACCAGCCCCTAGTGGGCTGGTGCGCCCCCCCTGCGCCTAGGGCTGGAAACCCTAGGGTAAGGGGCGCCTCCACTTGCCTTGGGGGGCACTCCACCCCCCTGGCCGCCGCCCCCCTTGGGAGATTCAATCTCCAGGGCCGTCTCCCCCCAGGGGGCCTATATAAAGGAGGGAGGAGGGAGGGCAGCCGCACCCTGAAGTCTTGGCGCCTCCCTCTCCCCTGCTACACCTCTCCCTCTCACAGAAGCTCGGCGAAGCTCTGCCGGAACCCTGCTGCATCCACCACCACGCCGTCGTGCTGCTGGATCTTCATCAACCTCTCCTTCCCCCTTGCTGGATCAAGAAGGAGGAGACGTCATCCGCTCCGTACGTGTGTGGAACGCGGAGGTGCTGTCCGTTCGGCACTTGGTCATCGGTGATTTGGATCACGACGAGTACGACTCCCTCAACCCCGTTCTCTTGAACGCTTCCGCTCGCGATCTATAAAGGTATGTAGATGCACTACTATCACTCGTTGCTAGATGAACTCATAGATGGATCTTGCTGAAACCGTAGGAAATTTTTTATTTTCTGCAACGTTCCCCAACAATATGGTACACATATACTTCTTGGTAGCAGTTAAAAGTAAGTATCGGCAACAACCAAAGTGAAAGATCGCGGATGTCGCCTAGAGAGGAGGGTGAATAGGCGCTTTAAAATAAGTATGATTTACACTTGAACAAATGCGAAATAAAACTAGCGTTTAATTTGTCAAGCACAAAACCTAAAACAACTAGGATCACCTATGTGCACGAACAACTTATGCTAAGCAAGATAAACAACTAAGTGATGGCAAGATATATATCATGAAACACTATGGGTATCACAAACTAAAGTAAATAAGTAAAGGGTTCGGATAAGAGATAACCGAGGCACATGGAGACAATGATGTATACCATACCACGAACTAGATGATGGTGATCTTGTCCTCCTCAAGTTGTACCACCTTTCTTGGTTTTTTTGGCTCGATGAAGACTAGTATATTTCTCCCCCATACACCACTAAGGGTGAGCCTCTCTTCGGCACATCTTTACATGTCCATTATCACGAGAATGGACAACAAGCTTCAAGCATGATCTCTTCATGATGCTCCACTTGAACTTGCACCGCAATCTTGATAACGGTCACTACTTGATGCCATCCTTCATGGATGCTGATACGTCTCCAACGTATCTATAATTTTTTATTGTTCAATGCTATTATATTATCTGTTTTGGATGTTTAATAGGCATTTATATGCTATTTTATATTATTTTTGGGACTAACCTATTAACCGAGAGCCTAGTGCCACTTGATAGAACTCAGCTCGAAGTCAATGATCCTCGATATCTCCTAAGTTCTTTTCCCATTGCAGAATATGGCATCGCCAGATCTAGGTGAAATGCGAAGGTTCTGGTGATCCCGTCTATACTCCAGCATGTGGTGTAGGACATAGAATCCATCATTAAGAGAATCACTCAGTTGCTGGATGCAGTAGAAGTCGGTCTTATGGCTGAAGGCGGGCCTGCCGTCCCTTCTCTTCTTGTCCTTGACCTCTCCACCCTGTGTGCCACATTAAAACATAGCACTGTTGAGAACAAACTTGATGTGGGTGTAATATTTTTTGTTAATGTTCTTCGATGAGTCCAAGTAAAGAGCGTGGGAGTATCGGGGGTAGAGGATGTGAGGATGGCGTGCCCGCCGCTGCACAAAATAAGTACACCTCAAATTAATTAGCCTCCACCGTGCAAATGAATGATTGAAATCGAAGGAAAGATATCCACGCGGATGACTTACATGGCATGATAAGGCACGAGAATCGCCTCCTTGTCCTTATTGGTGAGCATGAAATTGGCGAGGTTGTCCCTCGCGTATTCATAGTGTTGTGCGCAGACTTCCAAGAAGCCCTCGTCCATGAAGTACGGGTCGGTGACACAGATATAAGGTATCTTCTTAACCCCGATGAGGGAGTCCTGGATTAGGGGGTGTCCGGATGACCGGACTATGACCTTTGGCCGGACTCCTGGACTATGAAGATACAAGATTGAAGACTTCGTCCCGTGTCCGGATGGGACTTTCCTTGGCGTGGAAGGCAAGCTTGGCGATACAGATATGTAGATCTCCTCCCATTGTAACCGACTCTGTGTAACCCTAGCCCTCTCCGGTGTCTATATAAACCAGAGGGTTTTAGTCCGTAGGACGAACAACAATCATACCATAGGCTAGCTTCTAGGGTTTAGCCTCTCTGATCTCGTGGTAGATCTACTCTTGTACTACCCATATCATCAATATTAATCAAGCAGGAGTAGGGTTTTACCTCCATCGAGAGGGTCCGAACCTGGGTAAAAACATCGTGTCCCTTGTCTCCTGTTACCATCCGCCTAGACGCACAGTTCGGCACCCCCTACCCGAGATCCGCTGGTTTTGACACCGACATTGGTGCTTTCATTGAGAGTTCCGCTGTGCCGTCGCCATCAGGAAGGATGCCGCATCCCGTCTTTAAAGACGGTGCAATTGCTAAAGGATCTTTGGCTATCAGCCAAACTCTCCGGCTAGGAGGTTTTCTTATGACCGCCTGTTCGGCCGCCGCGCCGACGATGACTTCTC